ACGCACCCGCGTGATTTTCACGGTGTGCTGCAGAGAACGATGTAAAGTATTGTAGGGAAATTAAACCTTATGTGTGATTCAACTTCTTTTCATGCCTACATTCGCATGAACAGTGTGTGTACATACATACGTACGAACACTACAAAGAGTAGAATTGTGGAACCCCGTGGCCTCCGAACGATATAAAGATCCTCGTTCGAGGCATGCGATTTACGGTACGTGCATGTTTCATATTTGAATCTCACAGAAGTTCCCCTCTTCATTTTCCGGTTCACATTTAATGTTACGCGACCGGATCCCTACCTTTCGCTGCTTTTATTGTCCAAAAAATGTCCTTTCTCCTTCATCATCATCGTTCATGAATTTGTCATCGAAATCCAACATGACATTATATCAACATACAACATACAGTATGATGCGATTACGATATCCATCATCTGGTGACACGTACATATGATGCTATCCTTGATTAAGATTTCCCTTACCATTTGCCCAAAGAGTGGACTCCTCTCATACGATGAAAACGTGTGGACGCATTTTTTTCACTGGCTAACCCTTTTACGGTTGTTGACAAAGTGTTCGCATTCGAATTAATAATAGGTAATCTTGGCTGGAACAAGCACATTTTTTACTCCCGGTTCCCCAATAGAATCCGAATTTCCAAAGGTGATTACGTAAGTGCCACCATCCAAGTTATTTATCTTGTGTAGGTGCAGGTCATACGATCATTTTGTTCATCAAGAATGACTCCAGAATGACTTAAAAGAATACGATTCCTTGCTAAGCCGTCCCATCTTGAATCACAAACGTAATGTACGACCACGTTAAGTCACGTGTAATCTCAAGCTCTGCTTTTTGTGAGATTTCCGAAATTGTTCAATCTCACTTTTCCCTTGGTACGAATAAGCATCTCGCCTTCCCTGCATGTCTCTCGTTCTAGGTCTCTCACGTGTGTACAGTATCGTATCACACACATGACATTTTTTATCCAAAAAATAATCTCGTCGCAAAATCCATTTCCTTCTTCCACTGTGCACTTTTCTCCTGCATTCAATGGCAATCCTATTAGCGTATGATCAATTGTTATCCCGGATTAAATCTATGGGCATGCTGTGTGTGACCTATGTCCCTTATATCTTTTTCCCTGCTATGCCTGCTGTGAATTTCCATATTCATACAAGGATAAAAAAATCCGCACGACGTAAATTAATACATAAATTTACCAAATTTGTGGTTAAGAATGATACC